ATCTCTTCTAGTCCCTCCAAGTAAATGACGTGATAAGTACCACAGGCATTACTTTAATATAAATTGAGTGTGATATTATTAAAATAGATTGACCATTGATACGCTGAATTGAACGTCGTGCAGTAGACAGACAAGGGCTTGACACTGATGCATATCGCCCCCTGAGTACATATTCGCATGTCTGGTACATCGCCGTGTGGGCTTTGAACTACGCACGAAACATTTTCGGTCGTGTTTCATCTACATTACACACGCATTTAAGTGATATCTGTACAGGTGTTTAACTTCGCCGTGCCTCTTCGGCAACTTCTCTAACACTGCTGTAAGGCATGTAATCCGGACCACAGTTTCAAGTCTATCACAATAGTTAACAAATAACTTAAGCAGTTTTATGTATTTTATTAGTGACTTGTTTAACGACGCTGTTGGTAGCTCATACTGTGTAGCTTTGTGATTGATGGACAGTCATATGAAACGGCCTTGGCTTAGTTTAAGTATTATCCCAGAATTTGCCTTAATTTGCATTTCATGATAAGCTGATAGTATTCTACGCTGTTAGTCAAGAAATTTCCCGATTTTTATGGAACCGGAACGTTCATTTACGCGTTCACAAGAGCGGAATACCGGTCCCTATCCTGAGCCAGATGAATCCAATCCACACCCTCCAGACTTATCTAAGATTCATTTTAATATTATCTTCCCATCTACGCCTAGGCCTCAGAGCGGTCTCATTTCAGACAGTTTGTTATCTCCCTCTTAGGAACCTGACTCCAATTTGTTGTAGACTTATGCCTTTATTATACAGACGGTGAATAATGACGAAAGAAATATGCTCAGGTTTTTTTTTAATTTGTGACATTTGTGCAGATTAATTAAATAGATAAGTCATGAGATAAAAGAAGAGAGATTACAATGACGATAACTTGTTCTAAGCAAGGAGTAGGTTACGCTTCGTAACTTAAGTCCGCAGGCCATATTTCTTCGTGTACTTTCTTTGTTGTTGTTACAGGAATGAATTAGTTATATTGTGTAGTAGGAGATGTTGATCCTTCACGGAAACTTTGGCATAAAAATTAGATTTCTCATGTTCTATAAGCTAATTGAGAAAACTGGCGACAATAAACATAAAGTTTTTTGAAATTCTTGTCGCTTAGTCTCTAAGATAGAATTGGTCTATGACTGAGTGTTTTTTTTTTAAAAAGAACCCATACTATAAAAACCAACAGAAAGGAATCTAATTTATTAGTGTCTTACAGTTGGCAGAACAAAATTATAATCGGATTAAAATTGTTTTTTCTGTTGAGAAACCTTGAAATGAGTTCCTCTTTATGTCGTATTTGTTTACGTTTCATTTTACGCTCAGTCTGTATTTTCTTGTCTGCTAAAGAGTTCACAGAATTTATATTCAGTAATGTTGAAAGATAGCCACGGTGGTCTAGCGGTTAGAACGGTCGCCTTGTAATCCTGGGGGTCTCGGGTTCGATTCCCGGCGGTGCCCGAATTTATAACTTGTGTTGGGCAAGGCCGTGGTCTAGGCAACACGGAGTTTTTCTCCGTGGCATCCCAACAATTACTCCATTCACACACAGAAGAAGGCAATGGCAAACCACTTCTGGATCATCTGCCAAGAACGTATATGAACAGGTCCCAGTCCGAGAAAAGGATGGAAGGATCCTGTTCATATGGACCTGTCTTCAGACAGAACACTAAATAAATAAAAATGTTGAAAGCACAGTGGTAAGTATATGTACCACCTGCTTTAATATTCACTAACTTTTTATTTTTCATACAGTGTATTTATGTGTTTCGTTTTTTTATGATTTTCAGCTATTATTTCCTTTAACAGCGTTAACCAGTTGATCTTTGTAATTGTGAAATGTTGTGTTTTCTTTGCGGTACGGACTGAATTCTTAAATATTATTTAGGAACCGAATTCATAACTGGCATCTTCATGGTCCTTCTGTAGCTTTATCTCTCAGTTTGTCCTGTAACATCGAGAAAGAATTGAAATGTATGCGTTTTTAGACATGTACGTACTCAGTTGGAGAACATATCTTTTTTATAATTTTATATTTGCCTTTTTACGTGTCACCATATTTGTCTGTAACAAAAATCCACACGGTCGGTGACCAATTGTAACATGAAATACTACACTGTGCACGCACGCACAAGCTGTTTGTCGTGTTTCCTCACGATATATTCTATAACATATCAGGGTACAGGTATTCAGTCAGGAACAATTCTTGAGGACAATCTGTAAGTTTTCTCAGCTTGAAGAAGGAACTTTAAAGATGGTTTTAAGACTCTGCGAAGATGAGGTTAAAATATTTTAATATTTTTGCCACATTAAAGTATGTATTTAGTGTCGCGTTGATATTATAGAGGTTAAAGATGGCTGTCTTCACCATTACGAAGCTCGACTGGTCAACGCTGTTCAGGTAATTATACGAAACACACAAATGCAAAATTCAAAGATTCTGATTGTTTAAGTAGGTGGTACATATAGTTACAATTTGGCTTTAGAGGGTGAAGAAGGCTTTTGTAGGAAACTGTCCTGACATGATGCTTGAAGGTACTGTTTACTAGTAGGAACTGAGGAAAGGATGGCTTCCGGTTAAGATTCGAGAAAATGTAATCCCGAATATGAAAAATTTGGGTGTCCGTAATTGTTGATAGATAATTGATTCTTGCGTTATTTTAACTTTTTACAACTGACTTATGTAGCGTTGATTTTTGGTGTGAACGAATTGCAGGACCTAAAGAGTACGTTGCAGGAGTGCTAACCATGCATCTGCGAATTTAGGAAATGTCACTTTTTACATTTCCGTTTGTGTTGCCCGATTGTGAAACTGCTTGCCCGAAGATCAGTTTCACGCAAGGACTGATTTCGCAGTAGCGTAGGTTACTCGTGTCAAGAACTTCACAGCAATACGATGAAGGCATGCACGGGTTGGAGGACGGAATGGTGAATTTCACATATCGAATTCCTTTTGATTCACGAGAGCAAGAGAACACAAGATCACCTTCGCCCACATCCTATATTGAAAGCGCCCTCCAATGCGATGGAATGGAATCGAAGTGAAGAGATGTTGAAAATGGTTAGGGAATTAAAGGAGAAAAACTTCTGGGATACTGACGGACGAAAGACGATGAGTTTCCCCTAACATACATTTGACCTCGGATATATATTTATAAATGATTATGGTTAAGCCTGCATACACTGTTCGAAGTTTGTCGTCCACCAGTGCCCTAACTAACTAATTAACTAATCCCATTTATATTTGTTTAATCTTGTCAGTCTAATCACAATAAAATTCCTATTAAATATTAAAATATTACCATAATTAACATTTAAATATTTAAAATATATCAAATGATGCTCTCTATCGAAATGTTCGATTTACATTAGATCATCACTCCTTTACACGACATGTTTCGGTTCTAAAAGAACCATCTTCAGGTGTATAAAATATAAACTTAAATATAATTTTTTAAATGCAACTTTTAGTCAGCAGATTGAGACGCTAATCGTCGCTGAGGCAGTCAAGAAATGTCTCGCCTTTTATTGAATTAATTTCTAGCCCTAATACGCTGTTCACGATAAATTGTATTATTTGTTCTTGCTGATACACTAAGTAAGTCTTACAAGACGTCTCTTCCGTTCAGGTTTCCCGACTAAAATGTTGTAAGCATTTCTCTGTTCCCCATGCATGCAACGTGTTCTGCTTGTCTTTGCTTTACGAACTGTTTTTTTTTTTTGTAATTTGTTTGTGATCGGGTTAGCCATTTTCAGACTTCCTAAAATGTCACTCGAGAGCTTAAGGTAGCGTCTGTTTCGCTGTCATTAATTCGTCCATTTTCGCGGTGATTGTAGTCTCTTGATTAGATTTGTTATGAAACATCGATGTAAATTCTGCTGTAATACAGATTTTCCTTGGATTTGGACAAACTCATGTTACAAACAACACTGTAATCAGAAATTGAAAAATACCTTCGTTCAGAGTGCCCAATAAAACCATCGTAAACGTGAGGAGGAGACGAGCTATTTCTCGCACAGCCTTCCACATCCTGCTCGCTTGGTATTCATTACTTGTCTGCTTCATTTGAACTTCACGAGATATATGATGTAATTCCTAAAATAGAGAATAAATCTTTTTAAGTGCCTAAGACTTTATCTCCGCGTTCCTTTTTTATAATTTGTTTCTCTTTGTGTTTAAGAGGAGATACGAACAAATATCGCGTGTTTCTGGATTTGTTTTAAAATATTCCAAATCCTATTTTATGCAGAAAATATTTTGAAACTAGTCTATGGAGCCGAGGATGACTAGAAATTGACCCGAATTTTTATAGGCGTTTGCTGTCTCCATCGTCAGATTTCTCACATCTTCGTGGGTATTTATTCCCGTTGCGTCTGACATCTTAGGTTTTATTATCCCGACAATTTTTTTGTGAAGAACAGGAGTTCGAAACTTTAGAGCAACAGTGGGCCAACTCACGAATTAGGAAATCCTGTAATAACGAGAGAAATATTTTTGTACAGAGGCTTGTGGTTTGTTGTGTTTCAGAATTTTACAAAGCGGAATTAGATCAGCATTGTTTAATTTTATATCCGTTTAATATCAGTTTTAATAAAAAGTGCGCGTTAGCTCAATGTTGCTCCCAGGTCAAGTGAACGTTCCACTCGTGCAGATATCGACCGGCAGAGATCGATTATCAAATATTGACGCATGTAGCTCTTCCGGTGTTAAGGAATACTGATAGTGTTATCTGTGCAGTCTCCGAATTGCCGTTCTCCGACAGTCTTCGTGTTTATCTGCGTCAAGCCAGTTGTCGTATTTTTACCATGGTACTTCATCGTGTGCCACAGAGATCTGCACTTAATGAAGTTTACTTTCCGGTAAAAACATTGACACTTACAGGACCCGGAAACACAAACTTGAAATCTGTATTAAAACTGTTGGAAGTTTTTGTGTCACTGCATGAACTATTGTTAATTACAGTGTCGATTTCATGAATCTCACCAACACAGCACCGTCATCATCATCATCATCATCATCAGACGCGGGAGGGGAAGAGGAGGATGATGATGGGTACCTCCACGTCACTTCCGCCTTCACGACAGCCAGAGACGCATCGTCCAGGAACTCAGTTCGACACCGGAAACCCCTTACCCTGGGGCCAACAGGTATTTTTTGGTCCGGCACGCATCTGGGACAACTCTTATCATCACAACACACACTAACGTCTCCAGTAAGTGTTTTTGCACTATGCAAAGACTCCGGACCACATTCAAACGGTCGCGTACTCCAACTGGGGCCGAGATGAAGACTCAGAGCAGTTTAGAAGTTCCCAAACAGGTTCGGTCAGCTTCCTTCGATGAGATCCAGTTGGAAGCTAAACGTAATCAACAGATGACAGAAGACAAGGACTTTGGACCAGGGGGAGGCGTCAGCGGGTTCCTTAAAGTCCCTGAGTTTCTTAATCAGCGTTCTAAGAGTTTTGATTCCGGTGGTTCTGAAGATTCTACAATGTACCTTGAAGTTCCAAGGAGGTTTCAGCGACGGAGGTCTTCAAGTGACAAGATGCCTGCAACCTGCTTCCACTGCAGTTGTGTTGAAGAATTCTCGAGGCTTCGGGCTGTAGCCCGAGCCGACGAACTGGCACAAAATCATCAAAGCCAGACGAGATCATCAAGTTACAGTGATACTTCTTCCAGTGACTGGGACGATGATGACGAAATGGGATCTAAGGACGGTAGTTTCGAAGTGAACAACCCGAACACACAGTGTAGCATTCGAGTGACTCTTTCGCCCATTTCGCCGGGCTCCGCTTCGTTAGAATGCCCTCCTCCTGGCGAGGAAGGTGTTCCAGGGTCACCCGCTACAAGGCGGCGTTCCATAACGTCGCCGAAACTCGCAAGACAGGAAGCATTCTTTGTCGTCGAACCCGGAACTAATTCGTTAGAAAACATCTCTGATGTTACTTCTGAAGGAAGTGGCGTGGTCAGTGGCGGTAGTGTCGGAAGTTGCGTTGAAGGTGGCGTGGGGTTGATTGTAGGCGACTTCTACCTCAAAGTTCCTGAGCTCAAGAGAGACCGAGCTGCATCCGTGGACTCCTGTTTTACCAAAGTGTCTTCTAACAATAAGACCGAGGAATTGGACCAAGTGTTGACCCTTCAGGTCCCACAAGTTGCCCTTCGTTCCCGATCGGTTGACATCGTCCTGCCTACAGATGAACAAGCGAGGTACAAGGCCCTTGCAATGGCCAATACGTCACCGTATGGACCAGCTGTTAAGGGGTATGTAACTGACGTTTGTTATGACTGTCAGATCGTTAATTCAGTCTGGGTCAACAAATGGTACGTATTCAGGTTTATAGTGCATGATTTCTTTCTCGTGAGTTTTACTCCATATGGTTTATTGCATTTACTAAGTTACGTAGATGAACAAGGCTTGGAAAATACGATTACTCGCTCGCCTGATCGAATTTGGAAATTCGCGGTAGTCGTTTATATAAACGGATTTTGTTTTGAAATTTCGACTTTTTTTTTTTTAATTGTTGATATTTTCGCAATGGATTTCCAGCTGTTTCTGTCACGTAAACTGGACAAAGAGTGTAGCGATGTAATTTAAACACGTAACTTAAGGACAATCTAAAAATTGTCAGTGGAACCACGACTCCGGAGAATTTGACGTAAATACGTCTATACGGAAAGGAAGTTTATATATTGGCTTTATTCTAAATATTTCCTTTATACATGCTTTACAATTGAGTAAAGTTTGATTAAGACTTTGCTTATTTAACTTGAATTAGTTACGCTTAAGATGGGTCTGTGGTAGCTGAATGTAATGTAAAGTAATGTAATGTAATGTAAGGTAATATAAGGTAAGGTAAGTTAAGGAAAGGTAAGGTAACTATGTAGGTAACCATTGTTGTTTATTTGTTGATAAACAGATGACGTTTCCTAGGTAACAGTAATGCCGAGTAGACAGATTAAGTTTCCACGGTAACAATAATGCCGAGTAAACAGATGAGGTTTCCTAGGCAACATAACAATGAAGTTACACTTTTTCGTAACACTTTTTTGGCGAATGACCCTTCCTCATAGACGTATTTACGTCAAAAAGAATTTTTATGCTTTGAAATATAATCTCAGTTGTTTTTATGTGGAGATCTAACTTAACTTTCATCTCGACAATGAAAAATATAATAATCTACCTTAACTACGAGGCAATACAGATTGATAAAAATAACAGCGTATTGTCTTCCGAGCCTTGGGATTCACGATGAATTTTAAGTTCTGCAATGACTTGGCGTTATTTTTCAAGCCTTGTATGTCAGTGGAATAATACCTCATAACTTAATCATGAATGTTGTTTTAACTACTTATTAAGTCATATTAACGTGACCTTCAGTGCTATAAAAGTAAGTCTATAATTTAAAGAAGAAAGCGAATGTAAACTATTTTTTCAGTACAAAAATTGACGTATTATTAAGGCCGTGGTTGGTTTTAATGAAAGGCGGGTGAAATTTGTCAGCCTCTGTCATTTCCACTTTGCATTTCGCAGAAACTCTTTCGTTTTACATGTGAGAGAATTTATTTTTGTTCCTGATGTATGAAACACTCTAAGCGATCAATACAAAATAATTTATAACATTGTGACCGTATCTGTGTACAGAACACATGATATTACATAGTTTACATATTGATTTATTGATGCTGGTAGACACGGGTTAATCACACAAAGTGCATTGCTTTAATGAGGGGCGATGAGATGGGCTGGACGTGTAAAACCATGGCGGAGACCTTGGAATAGATTGAAAGGTTGGTAATACAATTGACCTTTGAGAAACAGATTTTGAAGTTGTGGACTGGACTCTTAGACGAGCGTCTCAATGTAAGTTTTAGAGCGTTTGTATTCTTGTGTCGTATCTGAATTCCCCGCCTTTTAAGTAACCAGAAGGTTCATTACCGTGTTGACAAAAGCCCGGCAACCAGATTAATCCAGTGTCGTCACACTGTATTTGAGATGCATTTTAACATTGTACCCCATTTGAGCCTGTGTTGTGCCGTGGAATATCCAAGTCTGAGGCCCACCGATTATAGGATACTAAATATAATTCATAAACAATTGGTATAAGAATAATATTTCTATTATAAATTCTAAGACTCTTGGGGCCCCGTGTGCAGATAGCCTTAAAATACGCCACCAGCTGGTTTGGCTTATATAAATATACCAACATAATATTATTACTAATAAATTATTTATCAGACACTAACTCTCGTAATACACGCCGAAGGTTAACAACGAAGCCCGCATTTGGACATCGTCCAGGTACATAATTGAAGCTCATTTCCATTGCCCGGCTGCATACTACTATGTCAGAACGAGGGAAGGTACTTTGGAATACTTAAATGACATTTGAGGTTCTCAGCAGTGAGTATAAAGATGGCTGTCTTCTGGTTATTGTTATGTTTTACAACAATGGCCTCAGGTCAGCATGATGTTTTGCTTACTGTATGTTCATGTGACGTAAAACGGAACTAGTGACTATTCTGTTCATTAGCCAGACATCAGCGCTCTGTGACCTTTGTCGTAATATATAATTTTCTCTCTGACCACCGCCGCGGACACAGGAGTAAAATATTAGAAACAGCTTGTCCTTGTGTGCAATTGGCAACAAACGTCAACGTTGGCAATGCTGTTTCCATGCGTATCTTTTCTTTTTCTTTTTTTTCTTTTCCTGGTTCCTGTTGAGTTCCGCCGGCGACAACCACACGAACGGCAATTGTGATACCCTGTGCCTCCGTGACACTGTCACAGAAACGCGAGTGTGTTTGTCCATTGCGGACAAAGTTGGAGTACAAAAGCTGTCGTGATTTGGTACAACATCCGGGAACATATGTTGATTGAAACATCGTGCATGTACTTTTAATGTGCGTGTTACGAAAGGCAGTAACATTTGATTAGTCTGTAGTGTTCAAGTTAAACGTCTTTCTCTTATGTAATATGTTTTTGACGTAAATACGTCTATACTGAAGGGTTATTCAGCAAAAAAGTGAAAGGAAAACGTGTAAGATCCATATCAACAATGGTCAGCTTGCGCGCATTGTTATGTTGCCTAAGACACGTCATATGTTTACTCGACATTGTTGTGTTACATTACTGCCGTCAACAATCCGCTGAGCTGTGAATCGGTTGTAGAAGTGCGTCGTAGAGTAGATAATTTTTCATTGCATTACAGAGACGTATTTACGTCAGATTCTCAGGAACCGCGGTTCCACTGTCAACTCTTTTTTTTTTTCGTATTGATTACGTATTTGTGTGGTTAGATTTCCTCAACGGAGTGGCTGAGTCGGATGTATTCTGAAGACTCTTGCGTTGTACTATCAGAATTATCCTTCCATGATGCTTTGACACGAAACTAAAGTCAATTAGACTGAAGAATCTGTGTTACTTTAGACACGGGCTGTATAGAATGTGTCACAGATTGTGCTTATGATTTCAAGAGGACTTCCAGTGAAGAATGTATGAGGTAAATCATCAGACTACATTATGTTATGATAAATTTCTTTCAGATTTTACCTCTTGTAATAATTGTTCACATTCATTATTAATTATATACTTTATATTAAGTATGTAGACATTGTTGCTTGTATGTTTCATTTCTGTTACGAAATTGTGAAAGAAATAATAATTGACGCTGCGATGTTGTTATTATTGTAGAGTTTCATTCTCGTTTTCTGTTTTAAAATATAAGACAAAAAATATATATCCAGCCCTGTGTTGAAATGTGAGTGTAGTTGAAGTGGTGATTATATGCAACAGTGTTTTCGTCATTGTGTATTTTTTTTATGTTGGTGATTCAGGCATACCAACACGACCAGTTATCGTAATGTGTACATCCTGTAATTGAATAAGCGTTGGGACTGTTTGCATTGGATTATTGTGAAATCGTCATTCTATGAAATATCTCTGCGATTGAAACATGGCGTACTTTTATGGCATGTGTGTTGGATATTATGATTTAACTATCTTAACGCTTGGCTCGAACGACGTAACCAGATTAGACGAAATTATAAACTAATTAGTAAAAACTAAACATTTTTAGAATTACCTAAATATTTATTATTGTAATTGGGTGAATAAACAGCTTCAATAAATTGTTAACCGACGTGAACAGAATACTAACAGGCCCCCTGAAACGTGTAGGCGTCTGTTTTAAGACAAAGGAATATGGAGCTATAAGGTGTTCTTTAAAAAGAGAGACGAAATACATTTACCAAATCTCTGAGGCAGTGGTTGGTCATTGTTGATTGCCTGAGGTATATTTTAATGTATTAGCCTAGTATTCAAAAGATCCCGGGTTTGATCCGGACAGTTGACGGTTTTACCAGACACCTGAAAACAGGAGTATGGCCAATTGCCGAAACGTCGTTTATATTAAATAATGACAAGACCTCCGCGGTCACAGCGTACTGTTTTTAAGGCTGTCAGTGGGCAAAAGAACACAAAGGAGTGGATGAAGTTGGCTTAGGTATTGAACTGCAAGAAACTTCGTACGAATCGATATTTAAATTGCTTATGGCAGTCTTAATCTCGTCAGAACCGAAATTGAAAGAAGTGTAATTAATCCCTTACGAAGAACGTCTCTTCTGTACTAGGTATGTAAATTTTGTTGTAAAAGTTTTCAGAAGTTCTTCTCATGGAGAGATATTTGCATTATTAAATTAGGAGAAGAATAATTCTGAAAATGCCTGTTACTATGCAGCTCGTAAACTAATATTATCCTGTCCACTTCTCGGAACTCTGAAGTTCATGATAAATAAGACGCACGTTCTGTATAATTGTTGACTCAGGATCATTTTAATGACTTTTAATGTTCCTGAAATACAGAATTGCATGAGTAGTTGAACAACTGTCAGCTTCATAGGAAGGACTGTGCTCTTTGAAGTTTGGTAGATTCTTACGCTCAAGGAATAATTTAGGGACACAAGAAAGGATGCGAAAGTAAAACTTTTGGAAGGCTGAGCAGGTGGAAAGATAACATTAAGATGGATCCTAGGAAAGTAGGATTTGAGGGTGTGGACTGGATTCAGCTGGCTCAGGGTATGGTTCATTGGCGGGTTCTTGTGAACACGGTAATGAAACTTTCGGTTTCAGTAAAATATTAGAAAATTTCTTGACTAACTGAACAACTGTCAGCTTCTCGAGGGCTGTGCTCCGTGGAGTTAGTTACTGATTGTAGTTTTAAAACGCACAAAGATTAACTGAGTTTGGAGCCCGTGTAATCTCCGTCTGTAAAATAAGCAAATTTTGGTAGGTTAGGTTAGGTTAGGTTAGGTTAAGTTGGGTTAGGTTAGGTTCGGTTAGGTTAGGTTCGGTTAGGTTAGGTTGCGTTGAGTTAGGTTAGGTTAAATTAGATTAAGTTAGGTTGGGTTGGGTTAAATTAGGTTAGGTTGGGTTAAGTTAGGTTAGGTGGTGGTCATGTGTTAGGGGTTTTGGGGCCTTTTATTTTCTCTCAGTATTTTCTTTGGTTGGTGTTCATTTGCTGTTAAAGGGATAAGATTTATGGTTTTGTGTTGTAAACATGGTAATTCTGTTCAGGAATTTTGACCTTATGCGGTAATATTTGTAATTGTGTATACTTCTTAGAAAATACCCAGTACACGTCCGTAAGTAAATATTTGAACGAGAATTATGAGGTAATTTGTTTCTTTTCTGATTAGTGCTGTTAGTTTACCGGTGCATAGCATGGCGAAAGACTCGGGTGCTATGAAAGTTATGATTGAGGGAAAATAAGGTACTTGGAGCAAATCTGGCGTCTTGAAATTCTCTGCGGTGTGACACAAAAGTTCTATTATGTCGGCCGCGCGCATGTATTAATTACTGAACACCAAATACGTGGTTCTTTGTTACAGGAAAGCAGTGAGTTCGGATGTTTCGGAGCAGCGGATCCTCCGTTCGACACCCGACTGGAGTGAGACTGCGAACAACAGCGAGCATTTGTGGGTACCAACCTCTGCATCTGGAGATTTTTGCTATGTAGGGGAAAATGATTGTACTGTAAGTACTGATTGCTGTAACTCACGATGTCAAACACTCTCCGCTTACCAAGGCAATCTGGCTAGAACTAGGACATGAGGGTTGTACGTACTCAGTCTGTAGGTCTCCATCCTGAGCGAAGTACTTTAACCTTTGAGAGGGGAGCTATTAATAAGTACGATAAAATCAATGAGGATGCGATGGGCTGGACATATAGCATTCATACTATATTATTGGAAGCCTGGCCATTTAGGACGCCTATGTGATAGGATGATATTAAAATGGATCTTAAATAAATGCGTTGTGAGTGTGTGGATTGTATTAAAATGTTCCGGGATCTGGTGGAGTCATTGGCTTTTATGAACGCGGTAATGAACGTTCAGGTTCCTCAAAGATTCTCACGGAGGATTTTTCTCCGTGGAGTTACCTGAACACTCCTCCGAACACTCCCACTCCAGACGTTCCGTGACGTATCTGACAAATAAAGGAGATGTGAGGATAATATTAAGATGGATTGTAATGACGTTCGGAGGATCGTAGGTGGTTGGAACTGGTTTAGGATTGTGTCTTTGTGGCGGGCTTTTGTTTTAGCGGTGCTTAACATCCTGGTTCTACCACAGCACGAACTATACTAACACTGAATGGTCAGCGTTAACCAGTTGATTTTTGTAATGGTGAAGAGTTGTGTTTACTTCGCGGTACGGACTGAATTCTTATATAATATTTAGTCTCATCAGCAGCAGCAGACTCTAGCTTGAATACTCAAGGCTTCTGCCCCGACATAATCAGAATTAATGGGGTGAAATGGTTTAATCGTTGTTGGATGATTCACTGTAGCCGCTTTCAGTTGAAATGAGTAGTTATATAATAGAGACAAATGATAATGATCGAGAATGTCCTCTGTGAAATTTTAGTGTCCCCAAACTTAATATGGTTGTCAAAAGAACGTGAAGATTACAATATATGAAACCATAAAGTTACCTGTTGTTTTATACGGGTGTGAAACTTGGTCTCTCACGCTAAGGAAGAACGCGGACTGAGGGTGTTGGAGGAATGAAGTAGCGGGTGTCTGGAGAAAACCGCGGAATTTGTACTTAACTAAATTTTGTTAGGATGGCGAAATTTGTAGAGTAAAAATTCTGAGTCATTCCACGTCATAGGAGGTTTGTTCGTTTGTATCGCGTTCAGATGTCTTCTCCAATCTTAAAATTGGCTACCAGTGACGTATGAATGCACGGATCCCGTATTGTTATATAACCTTTGTTGTGCGTCATCGTTATACGCTACTTGTAGTAAAAGTGTGTTAAACATTTTTTTACGAATGTCACTGAAGGTTTTGGCTTTTCGCGCATGGTTTTATGGTCTTGTTGGAAATTATGTATCGTATATTTAAATGAAAGCCGTATCTTATAGCAAATCTAAAACTTCTTGACGATGGTGAAGAGTGAATTGAATAAAAATTTCCTTGGATATTATCCATCGTCTAGTAAAATAAAAAATATAAAACGTAAAACGACGTTTCGGAGATGGGTAATAAAAATTTCCTTGGATATTATCCATCGTCTAGTAAAATAAAAAATATAAAACGTAAAACGACGTTTCGGAGATGGGTAATAAAGATTTCCTTGGATATTATCCATCGTCTAGTAAAATAAAAAATATAAAACGTAAAACGACGTTTCGGAGATGGGTAATAAAGATTTCCTTGGATATTATCCATCGTCTAGTAAAATAAAAAATATAAAACGTAAAACGACGTTTCGGAGATGGGTAATAAAGATTTCCTTGGATATTATCCATCGTCTAGTAAATATAAAACGTATAACGACGTTTCGGTCTTATAGCATCGGTACGAAATGTGTCCTTTATTTTCGACATAAGAGCAGGACTTGTTCAAAACTACGATGTTACATAGCAGAATGAGGTAGCCTCAGAAATAATTGGTGCTTCCGGGGGGGTTTATGACCAAACCGCTAGACGACATCCTCTGAGCGTCTTCGTCTCGCTTTGGATGGCCGCGTCCTCTTCATGCTTCAGCTGTTATTTAGGTAATGTTGGTAATAAAACTCAGAAATTACAAATTCGATAGTTCTTTAAACTCTTTATGTTTCGTGTTCGCAGAATTGCACTGCGGTAACATTCTTTAAAGATGGCTGCATTCTGGTATGTAACACCGTTTAGTGTTAGATGTTTACCGACGTTCTAGAGAGAACACTGCTGTCTTGATACACGTTGACGTGAGAATCTCATATCTGAACATTCCCTGAATTTTATTACGTTTTCCTTTCAAATTCTGATATGTTATCTGTTGTTTTGTATGGGTGTGAAACTTCGTCTCTTCACGATAAGGTAAGAACGTAGACTGAGGGTGTTTGAAAAAGAGGGTGCTGAGGAGATTATTTGGTTTTATGACCTATTTATTTATTTAGTGTTCTGTCTGACGACAGTTCCATATGAACAGGATCCTTCCATCCTTTTCTCGGACTGGGACCTGTTCATATACGTTCTTGGCAGATGATCCAGAAGTGGTTTGCCATTGCCTTCTTCTGTATGTGAATGGAGTAATTGTTGGGATGCCACGGAGGAAAACTCCGTGTTGCCTAGACCACGGCCTTGCCCAACACAAGTTATGACCTAAGAGAGAATAAGTAACATGAGGATGGAGAAATTACTTAACGAGGAACTTAATTAAGTATACTATTTAAAAAAAATTATTATCGTGATGAAATCAAAGAAGGGTATGTGATGGACGGTACATATGTCACGCATGAGATAATATGAAAAGTGTGTATGGATTTGAATCGAAGACGTATAAGAAAAACGCCACGAAGTTTTGTGAAAATATATCAGTTCTTCATTTTAAAGTGGGAGGGGGGGGGGGGGAAACACGCCTACAGATGACGTTGTGACCTCATAAACCTACTTTTTTCTTTGAAAATGGGGGTTGGGTATAAATACGACACGTCCACCAACCTCCGTGGTGGTGGTGGTGGGGGGGGGGGCTTAAACCCCCATCGACATTGTAGACCTCCACCGTGCTGTGCTTTTATTAATTGCCTGTGTGTGCATATATAGAACACTCGTGACTACAGAAACAAGTGAAGTGCGGAAATGAACAGAGATAATGGGAAATTGTAATATAAAGTGCTCTTAAGAGTTCCGTGTAGTTTGGGTTTGCTTAAGCTTATCTTAGCCACTGCTAGAGACGTCATACAGCACGGTACTGTTCCGATCTGTGCCCTGTTCCGGGAAACGTGCCCAAAATGTAATATCGAATGAGTTTCTCATGTATTTCCTCATCTTCAGACATGATACGGGCTCTTAAGATTTCTTTATGATTCTAGGATTACGATCTTGACTTACCTTATCAGGGTTTTTCTTCCTTAAATCCAAACGTTTGCATAAATGTTACAGTGAGAAGTACATTTACTGCAGAAATTAGAACGCTGGCCTTGTAATCCTGGGGGTCTCGGGTTCGATTCCCGGCGGTGCCCGAATTTATAACTTGTGTTGGGCAAGGCCGTGGTCTAGGCAACACGGAGTTTTCCTCCGTGGCATCCCAACAATTACTCCATTCACAAACAGAAGAAGGCAATGGCAAACCACTTCTGGATCATCTGCCAAGAACGGATATGAACAGGTCCCAGTCCGAGAAAAAGATGGAAGGATCCTGTTCATATGGACATGTCGTCAGACAGAACACTAAATAAAAAAAAAAAGCTGTAGGATTTTAGGTTTTCACGGCGGTGAGTCTGAAGATGGCTGTCTTCTGGGTTGTACCACCGTGTAGTCTGGTAGAAGTTCACCGATGTTTCAGAGGTCATACTGCCTCCGTCATCAGGGCGATGACTTACCAATCGCCCTGATGATGGACCTCTGAAACGTCGGTGAACTTCTACCAGACTACACAGCGCAACAACCCAGAAGACGGTCGTCTTCAAGTATTAAGCTGTTTGATTTGCTGTGTGTGTCCGTGTAATGTTCTGGTAAGTTCGGTGTATGACGACGTTGATAATATTGATGTTACGCGTTGCTTAAGTACGGGGTGGTTGGTATTTTTCCGACTCAGATGTCAGTGAGGTTGAATAATATATTCAGGGAATCCGGATACGAATATATTTCTAGCATAGCGGAGGCAAATTCTCGTTTCAGTAGACACGTGACAGAGTACCTGAATGAGAAGTTTCGCCGATATTTTCATACGACATTTCTGACTGATGTAAAGTCACCGGACACCCAATATAATGAATGTTTACTGCGTTGTTTAAATCGTATAACAGGTATTTAATTTGTTTTCGATTCATATGTAAATAAAATAAAATTGAAATCCTATAAAACTCGGTGTTTTTTTTTTTTTGCAATAAGTCGCTCGATTTTCGCCTTTAGAAATATGATTATCGTTGGAAACATAGCAGGTGTTTGTCGTCGTTGGTCTAAATCTTCGATAGAGACAGTATGTTCTTCCGAAACGTCTGTATCTGCCTACGCGGGGCTGTTGAACCCAGAAATCAGACAAACATCTTCACACATAAAAACGTAGTTTTATGGCGAACTTTGAAGGCAGGTTATTCACTTATTTATCATCTCCCTCCGAAAGATTAACCAACGACACAGTGAGTCACTTCAACGCAGAGAATATTTGTTCTGTAAATCTTGTAGATTTTTTTTTAGACTTGTTTCCGAGGTGAGAGAGCTGATTTCCACTGTTATTTACACTGAGGACAATAAAAATATTAAATATAGTGATGATAAAATTCTTTGTATTGCAAAACACTAACGCTAAGGAAGCTGACTGTATAATTACATTAGCTATGTCATTTATGCTCGTCGTAGCAACACCCACCGCCACGGTGGTCTATCGCTTAGAACGCTAACACCCATTTGATTGTTACGTAATCTCTGGGACACGGCTTCCTGAGGTCGTCCGTGTCTCAACAAAGGACCTCCTTAACATGAGAAGTAAATGGCGACTGTGGTTTGTCATATCGTTTACATTTGAAGTAACGTCACTAAATTAATTCATCTTTAATTTGTGTCTTACCACTCGAAGAAGACTGAGTAAATCTGTAATGAAGATCAGACGAAGATAAACGACTACATCTTCGTTTTAATTAAGTAGAGCTCATTAAGGAAGAGTGTTTTTTTACATGAATGACTGCTTTGTTATTTTTCGTTTGCTCACTCCCTCCCTGGGAAATGTTAGACGTCACAATTACTCTTTTCCTTTACATCGGGTCTTCTGATTAATTCGTACTAAACTTGGTTTAATACATCATCTGGGCCTGTCCGTATAATGAGCGTGTTCTTTCCGGCTTCGATGGGCGTTCATTTGTTTTTGAGGGATTTTGAGCTATGTTTATGGATGTGTATTGTTGTAACCGTTACTAGAGTAATTGTTGAAAGGAATTTTGGGCTTTTCGCGAAAATATCACTACCTTAGATTTTCCATCATTGTTGACTGGTAATTTACTGATTAAATTCCACGGTGGTCTAGCGGTTAGAACGCTGGCCTTGTAATCCAGGGGGGTCTCGGGTTCGATTCCCGGCGGTGCCCGAATTTATAGCTTGTGTTGGGCAAGGCCGTGGTCTAGGCAACACGGAGTTTTCCTCCGGGGGCTTCCCCGGTTTCTCCGTGGCATCCCAACAATTACTCCATTCACACACAGAAGAAGGCAATGGCAAACCACTTCTGGATCATCTGCCAAGAACGTATATGAACAGGTCCCAGTCCGAGAAAAGGATGGAAGGATCCTGTTCATATGGACCTCTCCTCAGACAGAACACTAAGTTACTTCCATAAATTTACTGATTATTTATAACGAAATGTCATCCTGTGTTGCGACAATTAGTGTCTCGTTTTGAATCAGATGTACGTAAGAATTGGTTAAGTACAGAGTGAGGTCCAGAACAGAGATTTTTTGACAAAGGTGATGAACTTATGTAGGAACAGGGTATTTAAACCAATGCTAGCTGCTCTATGGAAACTTCCAGAAATTAGGTGTGTTAAAATGGTTTCGTTCGTGGGATAGAAAATTCTTATCTGCATGTTCCGGTTATCATTATTTATCATTTCCTTTGTATATCACCGTTTGTGGTGTGTGTTTTATGCCCAAAAACGCTGTAACTCTCCAGAAATATTGTTTGTTCTTTCTACGTGCGATACGAAATTCGCCAGCTGTTGAAGTGTTGGATCGCAAATGCTTAGAAGGGCTTCCTTCAGCTTTGAATTGTTACTCTTGTGGCCTGCACGAAGATAAACATTGGGAAGAAACTTTACCAATTTCCGACTTTCACAAGTAAACTTTGGAAATAAAAGAAGTTGGCGTAGGCCATTTCTGCGATGTTTTCTAAATGAGGCGGTTTCCATTTCGATCTGTTTGATTGGGGTGAGGGGATGGAGGGAGGACATTGAGACCATCGTAGCCACCACCACCACGAAGGATCAATACCTTGGCGAAATCACCCACCCCTTCCCTCCAGCATCCCGCTAATTCATCGCAGGTGTTCTACCACTTTTTCCCCCCCGTAGTTAGCCGATGAATTCTGCTGTAAACAGACGCTTTGCTGTTAATACAGAATAATTAACCAGTTGTATTGTTAATTGTTATGCGTTGTTCGCAGAGGCGAATGAAACGAGTAGAAATAACGCCCTTGAGAAGCTAATTGTCGCTCAGCTACTCAAGAAATGTCGACGAAATTTATGGAACCACAATCTTCATTACCGGGTTCACAGCAGCAATTATACTGACCAAAAGAATTAGTCCATACCCTATACATATTTTTTGTAAGATTCATTTTAATATTATTCTTCTACCTCCTTGTAGGTCTTCGTAGGTAAAATTTTCTACGTATTTATCATTTATATTGTGCCCGCGACATGTTCCACGCATCTCATCTTTGATCTAATCATCCTAATAATATTTAATGGAGAATCTGCACTTGCTGAGGTATTTTTTCCTCGAACACTCCCAATTTGTGCCCTTTCCTGAACGCGAGAGACTAAATAGTAAGGCTAAGATCTGAAGTAATAAAATTCTCAAAGATACCATCTTAAAAAAAAAAAGTTACTTCCAGGTTATTCAGTACTTTTATTGGTTTTAAATTAGCGACTTTCCCTTCATGGCTCTGACATTCTCAGCTGCACATGAAGTTTTATTACCCCTTCTCTCTCTTTCTCTGAAAAATAAAGTGACTAAGTGAGACGAAAGATCTTTTTCAAAGTTGGAACTCATCAGACGCAATATGAGGAGGACTGTCTCAAACAGTACGTACGTCCACAGAGACTTGGATTTTCCAGCTAAATTATATTTAAGGATCCAGTCCGTACCGCGAAGAAAACACATCACTTCACCATTACAAAGATCATGTAGTTAATGTACTCTGTCGGCAAAATGTAAAGTTACTGAACGTTGAATTATGAATTATTATATACTTCCTACTGTGTCTTGAAGTGATAACCATGTCCCATGATATTAATATATCATAGAGTTTAAGTAAAAATACGTAAGTTCTCCAGATGACGGCCCGAGATGGGCCGAAACGTCGGAAATAAATAAAATATTTTTTTTATCTCTAGTTATATTGTGATGGTTTACTAATTAACACAATAAAATGAAATGTTGTGAGAATAAGTTGCTTGCAGTGAAAGTAAGAGTTGTGACTTAGTTATGTTTGATATTGGTCTGTGAATCCACGATTCCGTTTCAGAAACATGGACCCAGGATGAAGTGTTCGGCGTGCAAGATCATTGCGCACACGAGCTGCATTAATATCTTGATGGACAGGACCAAGTTCTCTTGCAAGGCCACTTTCAGGGACGTCGGCGTACGCCAGTACCGCGAGCAGACGTGCATCCACCACCACTGGGTTCACCGACGTTCACAGAAGGGCAAATGCAAGCAGTGTGGCAAGGTACGTGCCTGATGTTCTCGCGGCGACGAACATGGAAATGGCTGCCTTCTGTGAAGTTGCGCCTTACAAATTTACCAGCGTTTCGGAGGTTCTTACTGCTTCCATCATCAGGGCGATGAGTGTCCTGAAACGTCGGTCAGTTTCTACCAGATGACAAGACGCAGCATCCCATAAGAGTCATCTTGGCATTTACATTCATTATTCTTATTTCGTTAAGTGTTTTTTTTAGGCTGGAGCGTAAAAACATCGTACGTGTCTAGGCAACCCTTCTGACCCGGGGTAATCGTTGAAAGACTTTGCAACAACGAAAATCGAAGATCATTTTCAGGTCACATTCTTACGACAGTGACCTCGGACACCATTTTGCGACTTTGTTATTCCTTTACAGTGAGAGTGATCCAAGTCTACAGTTTCTTTGATCCGTGGTCATCGAAGACGTCACTCCCAGTGACGTGGTGTGAAAAACCCCTTTGGAATTCACGTAATCTTTTCCAGTCTTGTTAAATGTTTTTTAGTGGTTCATATTGTGTCAAGTTAAATTATAGAATGATCAATGAATAATTAATTGGAAATTATATGGAAGGAAGTGGCCGTGGCCCGATTTAAGGTACTGACCTGGAGTTTCCTTGGAGAGAATGAGGAATGTGTATAAAAAAAAACCACACAAACAAACAAACAAACTTCGATCACGGTAGCCGGGTCGAGATTCGAGTCCAAGACCTTCCGAATGTAAAATAAGAGAACCATCCACTCATCTTAGCCATATTTAGTGAGTGCATTCGTTATGAGACCATTTTTGACTTGTCATATTAAATTATTGGCATAACACGTAATTTTTATCTTATCCTTGTTGAGAAGTTGACAATCACATCTCAGTACTCAAGCTGTTCTGAAATATTTCTCCGTGAATTCAGTCTTAAAATTCTGATGATGTAACCTGAAGGGTGAGACCGCTTATAAAATCTAGAAACAGTAGGGCGGATAATATTAAAATTTAACTGAAGGAAGAAGACTGTACTTTAATTTTCCAAAAAATTATGGGATGGATTTTGATTTAGCTGAGCTACTCTCAGCTTCCCGTGGATGATACTGCTCTGAGCGAGAGAGAGAGAGAGAGTTGGTCAGTTACGGGCAATTTTAAGCACGGGAGAAGATTCCAGTAACGCAAAATTTTAAAGTTTCGATGATATATCGAGAGGTAAAACGTATCATATTTTGAATCTTATTCGCTTCTATCCTCTTGAATGGCGTATTCTAGAAACTGAACCTAGTTTGTTACGCATTGAGTTGGGTGGTGTTGAAAACTCCTGTTGATGTATCACTTGTCAG